TGGTGGTGTGTGTGTGTGTGTGTGTGTGTGTGTGTGTGTGTGTGTGTGTGTGTGTGTGTAAAATGTATTTTCGTGATTTGCTAGTGAATTTTGATGCCTACGATTTGGAGAAATTAGAACACGCCCGGGGTGGGGTTTTTCTCATAATGTCTCAGAGATGGAGTCTTTTCTCTCGGTAAAAATTCTCAACCAGGCCCTCGTCATTTCCCATTTTTACTACTGCGTAGTCATCCTCTCTGGCCTTCCAGACACCCACATTGCTCCCTTTGCCGCTCCAGGCCAATAGGGGCGGCAAGAAGCGGCGCGGACCGAAGGACGTGCTGGCCGCCCTTCCCACAGCCCCCATTGGCCTGGTGTAGCAAACCGCAGCCAATGGGAGCCACGATCGGCTGAACCTGCGGACGCGGCAGGTAAACAAACCGGCCCGGCCTCCCAGGTGCTTTTCCTGAACAAGCGACGGCCCTAGTTTGAGAACCACTGCACTAGACAACACTCGCTCCCAAATACTGACTTTATTATTGTTGCCCCTTTGCTGACCAAAGGTCAGATCAGAGCAGGTCAGTTTCTTGTCTGGAGCAGATATCAGTGATGCAGAGTCAAGGTTTTCCTTAGTGTGTGTGTGTGTGGGTTTGTTTGTAAAATGTACACAAGCCCCATTTCCTCAAGTGGCTGGTAACAAACAGTAGCCCAAGCAAGTGTCTCTTGCAGAAACTTCAGGGACGGCCCCTCAGCCCTGTCCCTCAGAAGAAGCTGTTTTGTGCCTCTGTCTCTCTCTGTCCATGGCACCTCATAGCTCTTCTTGCTCTAGCCCCTGACTTTTTCATCTGGGAAACTCCTAGCCCAAGGCTAGAGTAGATGCCTGAAGGGCAGCTTGAGCATCTACCCTCTTTTTGCGCAGCAGCTCTGCGCTATAAAGGAACCTCAGAGCTTCAACTACCAGACAAAGGAGAGTGCCTTAATCCTATAATACCATGAATAACTCTCTGGGTATAGTTACTGCATGCCATGGTTAGCTCTATCTATAGGGAGTTTCATCTTGAGTGCTCAAACATCAGTAATCCCCAATGTTGAGTGAGGTTGATGAACAGTAAACAGGCCATGGGGGTGGAAGGGTGAGGACTGAAGCCGTGCTTTCACTCACTGACTCAAGGCAGACGCACATCCTGGTAGCTCAATTCAGGGTTTTATTTCTCTCTCTCTCTCTCTAATATATATATATATATATATATATAAAAATAAGGAACATATCTAAAATAGTGAATGTTCTTGACTCAGTTATTGTGGCTTTAGTGGAAGAAATAACTTCAGATGAATTAGATTTACCAGTACTTAGATTTTGAGCATATTGTTGGAGCCATGGTTAAAATATGAAAAAATGTAAACCAAAAAAAGCACTTGCAGCCATGATCCTGATCTGCACAATGGTGCTTATGAGTTTCACTGCACTTCATGCCACTCCTCGTCACTTTCACACTGGGAAGCGGCATGTGACTGACAGAAACACATACCTGAAACTCAAACGCAAATCTCAGATTGCTAATTAAATTGACCTTTTTAGGTAAATATGTGAAAAAGCATCCCTTGAATCTTTTTGGCAAATACATGCCAAGAACTGAAAGCTCTGTGTCTTAATATCCTTACAAGAAGCAACCTCACTGCTGTTCAAGATAAACATAGTGTAATTAACATTATTTAAATCATGTGCTTTTAGCCATATACTGTGTAAGTCAGGGAAAGTCCATGCTGAGTAATTAGCCTTTTAGAAGACTCCTGCATAAACAGAATGATAAAGGGCAGGTGCTGAAATCGAGAGCTGGTTATTTCTCTTTCAGCCTGAGAGAGAAGATAAATAAAGCTAATAAGCTGGGACTGAGGTGGAAACCACAGCTCATAGATAGAGCTGTCTCCTTTGCAGACAAGCAGCCCACAATCCAGGCTCCCTTTTTTATTGCAGAAGCTTATTAAGGGCAATTTAAAGATCATGGTGATAGGTGAAAATTGGCCTTAGTCTCTCTCTCTCTCTCTCTTTTAAATTCACAAGTTGTCTTTTCTTCCTTTCAGTGAATTATCTGTAGTTTGAGGATTAGGAGCGTGAGAGAAGTGAGACTGTGTCTGGAGTCTGGGATTTATCTCAGGATTTTCAATGGGAGTTAGCCAGCAGATAACTGCTATTTTACAATAAGTGGGAAAACTTGTTCTGAATGCCAGATATTAACTGGAAGCTGACATTTGGGTTCATGGAGTGAACATACTTGAGAGACCACATTTCATGCTTTTGAACGAAATTTCCCACTGGCTAAGCCATTTAAACTAAAAACATTTTATTTTTACAAACACTTGCTTAAGTTGGATTTCCGCCCTGCCTGATTTTTTTCCACTGTGCGTTGATTTGTATTTGCTTCTTTTTTCTGTTTCTTTATAATCTCTCACTGTGCTCGACAGAAGCAGTTATGCTCTTATACTGTGCCTCTTTGATATGAGTCAAGCATTTAACAGTCATTAAAACTTGTTCTAGTTTTATGAGCAATAAAATTCACTCAACAAAATGTAAAAGGAAAAAAACTTTTTCCATCCAATCCCTGGGCCCCGACTGAACAAAAAACCAGGGTTTGAGTGTTCAGGGCACGTCTCAGGGTATGTCAACAAAGCATTTTGGAGTGAACCTCCCAGCCCAGGTCGCTTCTGAGTCTGAGCTCCAGCCCATGCCTCAATTTCAAGGCACCGTCTATACAGCTATTTTTAGGGAACTAGCATGAGCCCTGCTAGGCCAAGTCTATCAATCTGGGCTGGGAGGCTCGCTCCAAAATCCCTGTGTAAACATACCCTCTGAGGCTTGCTCCTCTCTTTGCTGAGCAGTTCCAGGTCCTTCAACTCCTGTTTGTTACATAGGAAGCAAGCCCTTAGTCACCAGACAGCAGGGGATAGGGAGGGAATGGAAAATTGGAGACAGGATTGTTCCTGAGTACTGCCTAATAGCTGTCCCAGAACTGCTGTGCAGCCTTGGCATACCATCCAGCTGGTTGCAGGAGTACTGTCAACCCCAAAAGTTAGTCCATCCGAAGACTGACAATGAAATCGATATAATTAAAATAAACCATGGCTTTGGGCCAAGGTGGTAATGGAGGACTCCGTCTTCTGGCCTTTAAATTGTAGGGCTTGTCTGCACTGCAAAGTTATCTCAAGTTATAGCACAAGAGTTGCCCCTAACTTGACTCTTGTCCATGCACAAAACCCCTTAATTTGAGTGCAGTGGTGCTTTTCACTAAGTTGGCTGGCCCAAGAAAGGGGGTATAGACTTAAGCTAGAGTGAGCACAACTTGTCTGCTAATAACATAACCAGTGCAGCATCGACACAAGCTAGCATGACTCAACTGCCTCTAGTTCTCCAATGTTTTCCCACAAGTCCCCCCACAAAGAATGTGAAAGAATTCATAGAGCAGCTTAGCTTACTGCAGTCCTAAAAATCATGTGCCCTCAGAAATTTTAGCAGCACGCATAAACGAGTGTAGCGCTAGTGTGGCTGCAGCAACTCAAGTGCGTTTTCACAGTGTGGCTACTCTCACTTTGCGCTAAGCTCACTTGAGAGGCGTAACTGGAATGTAGATAACTCAAGTTAGCTCTACAGTGAAGACATACTCTTTGAGGAAAGTTCCTGTGACCTCCCAGAAGCTGGCAAGAGGAAGCTCCTGAATTTACAATGCAGAGGGCAGGCAATTTGCTGGTTCTGCTGCTGGCTTCTCAGAAGCCTGGAAGGGTTCTGTTCTCTCCTCTGTGGTGATCAGAAGGGTGTTGGCATCTTTTGTTCACTTCCTTGCCCTCTTATGAGGCTCACAGTCAGGTACTGCCTGAGCCCATGCAGAGTGAGGGGAGTGCCATTCAGCAAATAAATACTGGGTGCATAAATCTTGTGCAGTATGAAATCAACCCCCACATCGGTGTCACTTGCAAATAATTGACCTATATTGGCAACTGCAGTTTGATATTAGAGTCATCCTCAGTCTGCCATTGCACTGGGATTCTCAGATACTGGCCTTGGCCTGTAGAACATTTTTTCATCTAAGGCTGGCTAGACAGCTTGGCCCTTTGTTTGAATGCAGACACTGCCACAGTTATGCTTGCCTTTGCTATCTTCCCTGTATAGTACTGCAATGTGCTCTTCAGTGTTTATTGTACATCTGGTTCAAAATGCAAAGACCCACGTCCTGAGTACGTTGGGTCACTAGGAGTACGTTACACCAGTGCTCCATGCTCTGGATTAACCACCTATTTGCATTTGGATCCAAGATCCAAGGATCTCTCAAAGCTAGGTGACTGGGCATCAAAATGGCAGATGAAATTCAATGCTGATAAATGCAAAGTAATGCACATTAGAAAACATAATCCTAACTATACATATAAACTGATGGGGTCTAAATTAGCTGTTCCCACTCAAGAAAGAGACCTTGGAGTCATTGTGGATAGTTCTCTGAAAACATCCAGTCACTGTGCAGCGGCAGTCAAAAAAGCAAACAGAATGTTGAGAATCA